TTACCGTTACCTTGAAGTCAGCACAAATACGCACCCCTCCGTTCGGTTTTTTTGACCACGACTATCGGCGCGGCCCACTCACTTGCTTTAATTGCTGTTAAGACCTCTGCCTTAACCAGCCGCTCTATTTCATCGCGGACTTCATCGTATTGTGCAAACGGTAGGTTGTATGGCTTATAGAATTTCGGCCGAGCATCTGGTTTGAGCCTAATCTCAGCTTTGAACGTCGTGCAACGACCCAAACCCGCTGAAAAAATCTGTTCCTATTCACGAGCGAGTTGCTGCAGCTCAACGATCAAATTTGTTTCTGATGCCCGACCTGTAATGTAAGAATGATTAGCGTAACACTCTTCGGTGGGTATAACTAAACTAAAATTTAACGCTTGAAACCAATCGAGTCCCATAATGTTTGTGGCTTTATCACTCTCTACCAAAAATACTGGAAGCCTCTTGGTAGTTCCTCTATGAGTAACATCAACATGAATAACATCTCTCAGTTGTATTATGTTTCCTCCGTACGCCTTCAAAACTTTCTGAGTAGGTGAGTAAGGTGGTCTTCCCAACTGAACATACATATGTGTATAATCCGATTAGAGAACACGATGCGCCTGTATCCACCTGGAACTTTAGGCTTTGCTTGTTTACGTTGAGTTTAACAAACACTTTTGTGTGCTTGTCCTTGTTGGTTTCGAGCAATCCAATTGATTCGAACGATGCTTCGTTCACATCAAGGGTATTCGCAGTCTCTTTTTGCGAAATTTTGCTACCATAGCGCCTCGCAGAGGCTTTGTGTGTGCCTTCTGATTGACATACCGAAGCAATGTGCCCCCTCTTGGTACACTGACGACATTTCGATTTGTTTTTGAAATGATAACACTGCTCTCTTGTGTGAGCTGTACCACACCCTGGACACGATTTGTCAACTGTTGCTAAAGTCCTGGACTTACGCTCGTGACAACCATGTTCCTTAATATACTTCCGCTGTTTGGTTGTGTGCTGAACTCTATAAACTGTGTCAGTTGCCTTTTGATTTTCTCCCCGAATCTCGCTGCAAGTCTTTACCGTAGAATCGTATATCGTTGCGATTTTCAGCACCTCATCCAAGGTCGGATTTGTTTTTTGAAGCGCTGTGCTATCACTATCATATCCCGTATGCTGTTATCGATGAATGATTCGTTGCAAATTTCTTTCGCGCATTGAAAAATACACTCCTTAGCAGCTCCTTGGAGTTCCGCCACCCAGTCCGCATAACACTGGTTTAGTTTCATTCTGATGGAAAAAAATTTGAAACGCGCGGCCAGCACGTGCTGTTTCTCGACAAAATGTGTAGATTGTTTTGCCAATAGCTCACTGTAAGACTTCCCTTCTATTACGTTATCGCATAATTTCTGCAGAAGCTCAAAGGTCTCCGTGCCTATGCACGAAAGAAAACTTGTCCGTTTAAGAGTTTCGTTTGCAACTCCATTCGCCACGAAGTGCTGTTCCATTTGCTGGACGTAGGTAGGCCATTTTTCGATACTTTTATTAAACTGCCTGAACACAGGCGTATTGCTCGTATGCGAGTCACTTTCAAGTACACGTTGAAGCGATTGTAAATTTTGCTCAAGCACTTTCGCCAGTAGTGCTTGGTTTGCCTCTTGAAATCGACTCAAAACTGACGCAAGGGTTTTTTCGTCCATTTCCTCGTCGCCAAATGTTAATTTATGGAACAGTTTATTCAATAAATTCAATTCAAGTTACAGCCAATGCCTTAAGATTAACTTGTCTAATTTGAACGACTTGTAAAAAACCGCGTTGTAGCTCTTAGCAGCAAAAGCAATGGAATCGCTGAAAGTCAAAAAAGGTTACCCAGTGCTGCCACGTTGATTTACAATCGAAGTTCCTAAATAGGGTTGCCGGAAGGTTTTACACTTCTTACAGTTAATATCATTTATTCATATTGTTTTTGTTTTTAACACACCTTTCCTCTTTCAAAAATACAATTTCATAAAATTTCAATGTCTATTTATCATATTGCTCGAGCGTTAGACGATCTAGAGTCCATACGCATAAGTAGCCCATTACGCCCATTTGGGTACTTAAAGTTGACATTATAGACAATGTTTTTATGTAAAAATAAAAAAATTTTAAAATGCTATAATCAAAAAAAAAATCAAAAAAATATGTTTGCTTAATTTTTGTTTGTTAAGTCCCATAATAAGACGGGAGAAATACTTTTTTTCATTAAGTTTCGTTAAAAGGTTTCCAAGATACAACAGTTTAAAGAAAGGTATGTATGACGTTTTCTTAAAATTTAAGTACCGTGTGAATAGGCAACCCTACGTCATATAGGCAAAATATGCGGAACGTATATTCATGTCATTTAGACCTTCAATCTCTTCAACTTTCATCCAAATCCCAAGAGGTCGCGCACAGTGGTGGCCGCGGTGACATGAAATGCCTCTTATTTCAAATGGGGAATTTATTTTTAGGAAAACTTTCAAAAACAGTAATTTTGTTTACTTGTCGGGCAATATTTTTTTATATTCATATACATTGGATCCTTGGCTAAAATCTTATGTGACGAAACTATCCCCCTAGGTATCCCTTCTTTGCTATTTATAGTCAAAGGGTAAGCTCCTTCAATTGGGACTTCCAACAGAAATGTTTAATGTCTGACTATAAAGAGAATCGATGCTCAAATAATTAAATGCTATAAGTCTGACCTTTAATTAGGTAAGAGTTACGTAACTATCTGAGAGCCTAATCAATCGTGATTCCAATAACTCAAATGCTTATAAAAAAACTAGTTTTTGTTTGCTTTTGTAAAACATAACAATATTCTGTCTGATTCGGCTGGCATCCACGACTTTGAAAACAGAATTTTGTTCAAATTTTCCATTTCGGGAAAATAATAATTTATTTTCCATATCCACCTATTTAGCTCGCTATAAGCACACATTTGTCAAACCAGTCGCAGAAGAAGATATTAAAAATGAATTACAAAAAGTACAATCGAAAAGCGCTGATGGCGTTACGGGTTCTTTAAATTCTGAAACAGCCAAAGGAATGAGAATGAGGCATTCTTTTTAAAAAGCTTTAGAAAAGTTGCCACATCTGGTTTGGCTTGTAAGCGGTGCTTAAACAACGATCTTGCCATTATGCTAGATTCTTCAAGTGAAGAAGTGAACTCAGGAGGATACATCCGACATTTCCACGATGCAATTATTACTTTTTATTAAATACAATATTCCAATTTTTGACTTGAAGTACTAAATAAAATAAGCATTATTAAAAATTACTAACTGTTCCATTTTTTATTTACCTAAGTAACTTAATTTACTTACCTAATTGTTTCTTAAAAATACTTGACATCCGCATTCGCATCCGCGGATATCTAAAATTCCACATCGCAGCATCCCTAATATATACATATGTCTAATCTCTAATCTGTATTTAATCAAGTGAACCGAGTGGACCCCAGCAAAAAAAATATATCAAAAATCAACAGTAATTTTTAGCCCTTAAGACGTGCACATATTATACTAAAATTAAAAACGGTAAAAAGTAGAAAATGTTGATGAACATTTTTTTAATTTGTTGAATTTTTGTGAGTTTTGCCCAAAGCTTTAAACTTTGGCTTACATGGCTTATGTTATACAATAAGATATATTTTTATGTGTTGGTGTTGGTTGATTTTTCCGACAGGGTGGTAAGGTGATTTATTTTGGAACGAATTTCCGTCATCCCTTGTCAAGTTTGGTTTGCAGACAAACCGGTTTCGGCATTGTGCCATCTTCAGTGTCATTTTTCGTTCTCCGTTATATTTTTATAAAAAATTAATTAAAAAATTTAACATTTCAATATTGAATTAAAAAAATTGAGTTCTTTTTAATGGAATCGTGCCGGTGCGGGGAATTTCACCGAAAATCGGGGAATTTCGCGGTGGCCATCTTCGTACTTCGGCAAAGCAAATCAAATCAGTTGCTGTTGACAGTGTTTGGACGCAAACATTTTTTTAAATGAAACTTCTTAATAGAGTTCGGAAATGTTTGCGTTAAATAAAGGCACATTAAACAGGTAGTAGTATAAGATCAAACTGTGCCATGTGAAATAGAAACAAAAATTTAGATAATACAACTTTAAATAAAAATTGCTGCAACTTTCTTGCTGAATTTGTTTGCATCCCGAGGCATCGATCCATCCTTTGCAAGGCGCAATAATCAGCGTTTGCGCTTCCGAGTTAGGCGAACATGCCAAAAACTGATTTTCAATAGCTTTTGTATAAACAATGGTCATGTTTCTAGATCTGATAGTTTTTTTAGCTTACGGTGGTAGATGTAGTAGAAATGTTATTTACCAAAAAAAAGTGGTATAGTCCGAGCACTAGCTGTTGAGCAAGACTTCGCTGCTTCGCACACAAGCGCGTATGTGTGATAATGTGAATTTGCCTATCTCTGATACAAGGTAATCATGCCAGACTTTGTCAAAAGCTTGAGAGATGTCCAAAAATACACCGGTGTAGTATTGCTTTCCTTCGAAGGTTTTTCTAATACAAGAAACAATTCTTTGAACTTGTTCTACAGTGCCATATTTTTCGAACAACACACTCGTCCTCGTATGGATTTCAATTTACAACGCAAACCAGCACTGCAGTAACAACAACAACAAATTTCACAACAATAAGCACGGCAAGTATATGTACACAGGCCTGTATCACACTAAGTTCGTCACTAGCCACTGTGCCTGTCACTACTCCCGCTATTTGGTTAACATCAGCCGACACTAGCAACAGTAACCAAAAAGCCACTCAATCTAAAAATAAACCAAAATCTCAACACTCTTCAAATTTACACTCAATACATACACCAGCAAACGCTTTGTTAAAAACACACTCACTGAATAACCCAGCAAGAAATCCTACTAGCAAAAGCATAACACATACAACCAAAACTAATGGACAAAAAAGGTTGCGCTCAAGCCCAGATAAATGTGCTAACAATCAAACAAATAAACAAAGCATGCTAAGCGACTATTGGTTAGGTTCTCCGTCCGCGAACAGTATCAACAGATTTGCTCCATTATCCGAGGCGGAGGGAGAAAACCCTGATGACCTAGAGTCGCAAAGAGATCTCAGAACCCCCAAACCGCCACCTATTCTCTCTGGAGGGGCAAACATTCAGCCCCTAAGGCAGCTACTTTCAGAAAAAGCCGAAAATGAATACATTTTCAAAAGTCTAGGCAGAGATGGGGTCAAAATACAGCCCACCTCAGACACATCGTACTCAGCCATTACAAAAGCGCAAATAGAACGAAAAACTGAATTTCACACATATAAAGTGAAGAGCGAACGTAACTTCAACGTTGTACTAAAAGGACTGCACTATTCTAGACCTGTAGAAGACATTACGAAGGAAATTTAACGACAGGATCACCAAGTAATCAACGTTTCCAACATTAAGCAGCGCTCAACTAAAAAACGCCTATCTATGTTCTAGGTAAACCTCAAACCGGACAGCAACAACAAGGACGTGTACAATATTACCATTTTGCTCCATACAAAAGTTGCTTTTGAACCGCCGAAAAAAGCGAGAAATACCGCAATGCACCCGAGGTCAAAGATACGGTCACACCATTAATTTTTGCAATCATACACCACGCTGTGTCAAGTGTGCCCTAAACCACAAGACATCTGAGTGTACCAGAAAGACTATGTCAGATGCCGTGAAATGCGTTCTATGTGGAGCAAACCACCGGCAAACTATGAGGGCTGTAAGATTTACAAAGAGTTACAGCAGAAAAAGTACCCACAGCTTAGAGAAAAGAGGACTTACGCCCTAAAAGCAGCACCCCAGAAAGTCAGCTCAGCTGCGGCTCAGCCTACATTAACATTTGCGGAAGCTGTACGAGGCAACAATAGTGACGTACCAATTGCGGGTCAACAACCTAAGACCTTTGTTCCAAATTTAGATAATAGCGGCGGAGACATGTACGAACTCAAAAGCATGCTCAAACAATTAATGGAGCAAATGGGAACTATTCTCAACCTCCTTACTGCAGTCCTTGCAACGAAACAATGATGAGCCCTCTACGGATAGTAATTTGGAACGCAAATGGACTTTGTCAGCATACCCACGAAGTCCAGGTATTTCAAAATGAGCATGACATTGACGTGATGTTAGTCTCAGAGACACACTTTACACAAAAAAGTTACGTCAAATTGAAAAATTATGACATTTACACCTCAAACCACCCCTCGGGGGCGGCCAGAGGAGGGACTGCAGTAGTTGTAAAACAAAATATTCGACATGAACAGCATTCATGCTTTGCCTCGGACAAAATCCAATCAATTTGCATACAAATTTACTGTGGTAATGGTGTGGTAAATGTAGAATCAATTTACAGCCCTCCTTCAACGACAGTCAGATCGGCTGACTTACGTTTGTATGTTTCTTGACTGTAAACAAATCAAAAAATTATATTACAAAATTTAAACAAAATATATCATATTTGAAAATTTATAAGCAAAAATTAAACAAGGCAAAAGTGATTAAGTTGCGGCAAATGATAAAGCTGTTTTTGATAGACTTTTTTATTCTGATTACGAGTAAGTAAGCATAAAGTTTCCATCAGCTTCAGATTTTGAGAAAAACGAGGTCAAAGTGTCAAAAAATCGCGTTTTTTGCAATATTTTAGAAAGTCTAGCACAAAAAACAAAAGGTGATAGAACCTTTAACTGGAGCTTTAATTAAAGTTATAAGTCTCGTTATCCCTGCACCTTGACCTGATGGTTACTAAAAGTCATTTATTGAACAATATAAAAATACTGTGCTATTGATAAAAATAAATAAGTTTTGCCAAAATCAGTTTTTGCTGTTAAATAAATAACTATAAGTGACCTTAGGGTTAAGGTTCAGGGATGGTAATTTAAGCGATTGTAGTCGAAAGTTCAGCCCAAGTGGAAGGCTCTATCCCGTTTTGTTTAATTGCGGTGGGTACTCAAACTTCGCACAAAATCAGGTTTTGCTGTTCAATAAATGACTATAAGTGACCATCAGGTCAAGGTGTAGGGATGGTATTTTCAGGGATAGTAGTCGAGACTTCTAGCTTTAATTTAATCCTAATACCGCCTTTTGTTTCTTTGCTAGAGCTTCTAAAATATTGCCAAAAAAACGATTTTTTGACATTTTGACCTCGTTTTTCACAAAATCTGGAGATGATGGAAACCTTATGCTCATGGATTCGTAATCAGCACTGACAAGTCAATCAAAAACAGCTGTAACATTTGCCGCAACAAATGTTTCCCATTTTTGTTGTCATGTGTTATAGATCATAAGAAGAAGCTTTCTTTACTAGGCTCATAATTTTGTTTTTAATTGTAAGCTTCAGGAATAGATATGTAAATAAATAAATAAAATTCGATAATAAAATGCTTTACTTAGACAGAACTATACATGTTAAAGCAATATTTAAACATAAAGTGAATTTTAAAGTTAAAAGTTACTTAAGAAAACGGCCCTACGTGTGTTTATATTTTCAATATTTTGTTTTTTTGTTTTTCGATGCCGTCCCTGGTAATTTGGAACAGTTTTTAACATTACATTGACTATCGATAGTACTATCGATGGTAGCGTTTGACACTATCAATAGTATTGCTGGAAACTATAAACGAGTAATGATAGTTTTTTTCTGAAACATGGAAACTATCGATGGTGGCACTATCGATAGTTTTACAACTCTATTAGAGGCATGCCCGCATTCCGAGCAGAATTTATCCAGATATTTCCGCCCCCCTCCTTGCCAGCTCGTCGGCTAGGCAGTTGCCAGGAATGTCCCTATGTCCAGGGACCCATACAACAGTCAATGAGCATTTTGGTGCCAACAGGTTGAGAGTCTTCCTGCATTCTATGGCTACTTTGGACCTTGTGACGTTAGGATTGAGAGATTTGATAGCAGACTGGCTGTCAGAATTGATAGCGATAGGCCGTCCTGGAGGGGCGGTGGTTGTGAGCCACCGAGCCGCCTCCGTTATGGCATTTAGTTCTGCTTGAAAACGCTACAATGGTCCGGTAAACAAAAACTGAGGTTTAACGTGAGTTCGTCAGAGTAAATTCCGCGCTCTCTCTCTCTCTCGCTTCTTTTGTTAAGCTTGGAACCATCTGTACATTTGGCCGTAGACCCTGGGTACAGGTCTGTGGCCCTTTCCCACTCGTTCCCACTGGATTCTTGTGGAGAATTTGTTGTCTGAACAGACTAGAGGAGTGGTATAATCTATCTGTAGTAGATTATCCGGTAGAGTTTCAAGTACTTTTGCGTGTCCAAATCTGAAGTCTCTCCACGGCTGGATTATATTTAACCTGGCCGCACTGTAGCCGGCCCGAAATTTGCCGTAGAGATCCACAGGTGGAAGATTTAGCATTGTCTCCAGAGATTTGGTGAGTGTAGTGGACAGTGCGCCCGTGACGAGCATGGCAGCCGTCCTCTGCACTCGTTCCACCTTGCCCTGGACAAGGTGTTATTTAGCGCAGGCCAACATACGGTGACCCCGTTGAAAATAATGGGTTTATTACAGCTGTGTACATCCAGTGTACTATATGTGTTGTTATTCCCCATTTTTTGCTTATAGCCGTCTTACAGGCATACAAGGCGGTGTTGGTCTTCCTGGAGCGGTCTTAAATGTTTCGCTTCCAGTTCAGTTTCGTTGCTAGAATAACTCCAAGGTATTTGACCTGGGTTGAGAGAGGAAGTGCCACCCCGTTTAGGGTGAGGTTTAAATAAGGAAGTTTTATACTTCCTTGTGAAAAGTACCATTTCTGTCTTGGTAAGATTGACACTAAGCCCACATTCCTTGGACCAGGTGTTTACCAGACCGAGTGCGTTTTGCAATAACTCTCTCAGGACCTGAGGATGTTTGCCCGTTGCTACGATTGCTATGTCATCAGCGGACGCTATAACTTGACAACCGGTGCCAATTTGGCTTAGAAGTAGGGTGTTCACTGTTAGATTCCAGAGATTCCTTGGTGAGTGCCTCTGGTAACATAATTTGTAATGGAAACATCCCTCAGTTCTGATACAATAGTTCTCTTTCCGATAAGGAGCCCAACAAAATCCATTCTTCTTTCTGTGTTGCCAAAGAAGGGGGGCTGAACACCTTTTGCAGAAAACATCTTTCTGCGTAGGCGGCCTTCGGTCGCACTGAGGGATTATAACCATCACTAGGTAGAATTCTCTTTTCTGTGTTGCCAAAGAAGGGGGGCTGAACACCTTTTGCAGAAAACATCTTTCTGCGTAGGCGGCCTTCGGTCGCACTGAGGGATTATAACCATCACTAGGTAGAATTCTCTTTTCTGTGTTGCCAAAGAAGGGGGGCTGAACATCTTTTGCAGAGAATACCTTTCGTACATATTTTCCATGGAAAGGTTTGTATTTTTATTGTTTATGGGTTATATCTTATTTTCTTTTGTCTCTCATCCTTCTTGTATATTTTGGAGTTTGACGCGTGATTTTGAAGGTGTTTTTATTTAATAAATTGTGATTAATTGGTTAAAATTAAAGTAATAGAGAAAGTTATAACTAATCGAATAAAGGGTAGAGTAAAAAAAATATAAAAATGTATTGTTGAAGTGGCTGCTTTAAGGAGAATAGGAGTGATAAATGTACGCCAATATCCGAATTTTACAAAAAAGGGCATATTTCAAATCGAATTTCTAAATAAATTAGGTTCCAAAAATTACAAAAGTAAGTGTTAAAATAATGTGTACAGCCTTGACTACAAGTGTGTGGAATTTTTTCGATCGGGTCACCCGTTTGGACCCCATACCCCGAAATAGTTGGGCCATTTACTAAACAGTACCCCATAAAATTTTAGTGAAACCAAGTGGAGTGCAGCAAAAAAAAAATTAACATCCACAGCAATTAAAATTTGCACTCGATACATCCACTATTTACAAATCGAGTGGAAAACAGGGCTGCCAGACGTTTAGAGTACAAAATCCGTACACGGACAAAAAATGGTGGGTAAAAAATCCGTACAAAATCCGTACGCTCAAATTTGTTTGGCGATCAAAAAAAAAATATCGATTGTACTTAGGTGAACACAGGAATCGGACTTTTAATAACATCAAATAAAGCTGCACATATTTCCACTAGTTCTATTTATTGATTGCTTGACAGACAACTTTATTATTGTTTGAAACGATGGTTAAAGAGAAAAAAATAAAGAAAATTAGGGGTTTTTTAATTTTACGCAACAAAACTTCCCAACAATCGAAGTCTACCAATAGATTGTTATATACCACGTTTATACGTAAGCTATTTGCAACTAAAAATAGTTTGCAAATACCTAACACTGTTTATTCGATGGTGAAAAATTCTTTTTTAATATTGCCTGATTATAAAAAGGCAATAATATGACCATTGAAAAGGAAAATAAAGTTGAATATGGCAACGTCTTGATTATAAAAAGGCAATAAAATGACCATCGAAAAAAAAATTAACCTAAGAATGGCAGCGTCTTGCGCTTATTTGCAAATAGTACCACTAATCAATACTTATTTGCGTGATTTAGTTTTTTGCAAATAAAAAATTAACTCAGCGCTTATACGGCAAAGTTTACCATTTTGCAAATTGTTATTTGCAAATAATGCGTGCGTATAAACATAGTAATACATAATTTTAAAGGCCATATTTGATTTTTAAAATCGGGTGAAAAATAGTCTAGCTTTTAATGGATAACTCCCAACTACGAAAACAACGAATTTTTTATTTAAAAAAAAAATGGGAGGTTAAGGAACTATAAGAAACCTATCAGAATAAGATACCTAAGGAATATTTTTACACTATGATACGAAAATCCGTACAAAAATCCATACATCTTGACGGAAAGCTAAAAATCCGTATGTTGAATCCGTACAACCATCCCAGGAAGAACGTCCTAACGCCCCAGCAAGAACGACCTAACGCATTCTGCAATACTTACAAAATTGTCAATGAAAACCAACACATTTGGATATTAGCGATATCCATATGACATTCTTTGAGTTATATAACACGTTATTAATCGCATAATAATATTTGATTGAAAAGAGACAACTACATATAAGGTAATATAATAGCGAATTTGATGTAAAATAAAGAGAAAACTGCTCACACGTGAAACGATTATGCGTTAGATTTCTCCAGGAGCCCTATGTAAAATGATGGAAAGTTTTTGAATTTCTCACTCAAACTTTTTGTAGTACTAGGCGTATATAACGCATTAGTTAACAGATAGGGTTCTTACTGGGATTTTAACCCCTGCAAATCCGTACCGTACGGAAAGATCCATACAT